GACTAAAAACTCATTCAAATGTTGACATTTTTCTCCGATAAACAAAACAGAAATTCAAGTTTTTCAGAATTTCGACTTAATTCAGAATTATGATAAAAAGACAATATTTGACTTTTTACTCAGAATTATGAAATTCTGATTACCAAATTCACTTTCTGAACAAAAGTTATGTTGTTCTGGAATAAGTGATAATTTAGATTTTTTTTTGACATCTTACAAATGTCAGCTAAAGCATGATTTCTTCACTTAGGAGTTGCAGGCAGAAGTGAACGCCCATCGGAAACACCTGAACCACGTCCTGGAGAAGGGGCGGAGCCTGGCCCAATCCAGTAAATCAGATGGGGATGAAGTGCTCCAGAGGTACAGTTGTTTTATTTCAGGGTTGATTGTGACATGTCAGAATTGTTGTTTTCCTTTAATGCATTTACAGTTATTATTGTTTTTTGCAGATGCACGCACCTGAGTGCAGAGTGGGAGGAGCTAGAGGAGGCGTGCAGCAGGAGAGCATCTCACCTGAGCAAAGCCATCACCAGAGAACAGGTGAGTGGACACTTAGAGATGTGACTATTATTATACATTTGAGAAACTGTTTTGTGTTGGAAGTGTTTTGAGATTAATTTTCTCTTTTCAGCTGCTGTTGGACTGCTCAGAGCTGGAGTCCAGGCTGACTGAGTCTCTCACTCTAGTGAACACCGATGACTACGGAAAAGATGAGCTGGGAACACAGAGTCTCCTCACCAAACACAAGGTACAACACTCACTCTGAGAGGTCTGTCGTTAGCCAAAACAAAAGAGGACTTTAGATCTTTCCCCCGTGGAAGTCCTTCAGCGGACCCAGGCAGATGCTTACAAGTAGAGGAAGCACAATTTAAACCGTACAGACTTAAGATATGGAGTGTGGACTGCTACTTGGAGAGGTCCCCAGTTCACCTCCTTGGCCCTGCCGTGGTGCCCTTGAGCAAGGAACCGGACATGTGTGTTCTGATGATTTCCTGGCTGCAGGTGTTGGAGGGCCAGCTGGAGGTGCTGGAGGTGGAGGTGGAGGAGTTAGGAGACCAGGTGGACCAGGCGGAGCAGAACTGGAGCCTCGAGGAGCTCAGCCGGCCTTACAGTCGCCTCAGAAGCCTGAACCAGCAGCTTCAGCACCAGGCGGCTCTCAGGTAAACTCTGACACATTACTTTACTACAACTTGAACACTTAGCATGGTGAAGAAGTACATTTGAGTATGTATTGTCTCTACTTTAAAGAGTCCTCTCCTGCTGATGTTCAGGTGTACATTGAGTATGTATTGTCTCTACTTTAAAGAGTCCTCTCCTGCTGATGTTCAGGTGTATATCAGTATGTAGTGTCTCTACTTTAAAGAGTCCTCTCCTGCTGATGTTCAGGTGTATATCAGTATGTAGTGTCTCTACTTTAAAGAGTCCTCTCCTGCTGATGTTCAGGTGTATATCAGTATGTAGTGTCTCTACTTTAAAGAGTCCTCTCCTGCTGATGTTCAGGTGTATATCAGTATGTAGTGTCTCTACTTTAAAGAGTCCTCTCCTGCTGATGTTCAGGTGTATATCAGTATGTAGTGTCTCTACTTTAAAGAGTCCTCTCCTGCTGATGTTCAGGTGTATATCAGTATGTAGTGTCTCTACTTTAAAGAGTCCTCTCCTGCTGATGTTCAGGTGTATATCAGTATGTAGTGTCTCT